TAATTTAAAGAAAAGTTTTCTTTTTCTTTTTATCCACTATTAATAGTTCACTCATGTAATTCTTAATCTTGTTTTTGAATTATTACTTGAAGTTCCATTATGGAAAAATGCTAAATCTTGGCAGGGAAGCAAAAAAAAAACAAACTTCATCTGATGGAATATGGAGGGTTTGTATTCCAACTCACTTCTGTATTGAGTGACTTGCTTTTGCTCCTATGTAGTTCACCGTTTCAATTTAATATACCATTATTCTCTACGTTGAATCCAAAAAAATCTATTATCATTTGCTTTGTATTTTTGTTCTATTGATAATCGATTGAACAAAAAATCAAATTAGATTACAAATACTTACTTTTAGACTTCTAAAGAAAATAATTTACACGCATTTTTTTCGCGTCAAAAGTATTTACACACAACATTAATTTCATTTTCTTCTTTTTAATTAATGCATTTTTTTATGCTTATTTAATTATTACAATTATTATTTAGTTACACCTCCTTTTTCATCAATAACAGCCCGCAATCTAGCTGGAATTGATTCAATCAAGTTGCAAATCAATTTGGACGGAATATCCCCTATTTGAATTATGGTATCACTATATTTTGATTTTTTATAAATAGTTCTTTGCTGTTTTATGAAGTCCCAAACATTTCCAATGACATCAAGGTCAGGGCTATAAGAAGGCCATAAAAGAACAGCATTATTTAACTCTTTTAAAAATAGGTTAGGTCTACATCCTTTATAACATGGTGTATTCTTATGTTGTATTCTTATGTCCAGTTAAAGGTTGGAAAGGGTCTATTTCCTGACCCAAAGGCATTGTTATTTAAAATAACAATATAACCGGACTGATTTATGGTGCCAGTTGTCGGCAACATATCTCCTAATCTATAGCATGATAGACATCCCCAAAACACCACCGTGCCACCTTCAAAGCTATTAAGTAGCTGCACTGCTTTATTCTTTTTGCGTTATCGTATATGCATGAAGTGATTACCAAATGAACCCTAGAATTGAAATGCAGACCCATCTGTCCATAACACAGTGTACCAAAACTATATTGGTTTCTTAAAATACTTCAAAGAAAATGAGAGACGATTTGATAGGGTCGTTGGAGTAATATTGATAATTTTGTGCGCCACATGGGTATTGGCATCACTAATATTCTTGTCAATCAACTTCTCCGATAAAACTGCAATTTTGACAAGATTTATTGAAGGATTTTCTACGACTGCTCTTAATAATCTCCTGCATTCCCTTCGATTCATGGAAAGTTTGCCCCCACTTCTCTTCAATTTTTTCAAATTTCCGCGTCAGTGCATTTGCTTATATTTTTGTTAAATGAACAGTTATCTTTCCAATTCTTTTTTTATTTGGTTCTGCATAGATAAAACTAAGTGATATCAAACATTTTTTTGCAAGTTACCTCCAACAACAACAACAAAAAACTGTTTCAGTGCAATATGCACATAAATTTTCGTTGTGTAAATACTTTTGACTAGGAATGTATAAGTGCTAAACCATACCAAGCTCAAAGCCAATGAAACTTATACAAATGTACAACGAAATTTTATCATTTGACGTCAAAACAAAACTTTAAATAAATTAATTGGGTTTGAAGTCCATGAATGTACGACTCATAACATTCTCAGTGAATCATACATCATACATTAAGACTGAAAAGTTTTCGGAAATTCTCATTTAAAATTCGCGCGCTGTATATTTTTCGATATTTTAAGTTTATGTAGTTTGGCAGCACTTTCCTTAATTACTATGCCAAAAATGAGCGCGATCTGTCAGACAGTTCGTTTACGGCAGCTGTTGAAACCAGTTCACCTCAGTAGTGCGTTGCGAAATGTCTTCGACGGTCGTACGACCGTCCTGAAAGGCTTTGTACCACTCATAAACTTGAGTTTTCGATAAAACTGATTCCCCATAAGCCTTTTGTAGCATTCGCAACGATTCTGCACACGAAATTTCGTTCGAAACACAAAATTTGATGCAAACTCTTTGTTCAATATTTTTTTCCATTGTTTTTTTCGCAACGCACTACTGAGGTGAACTGGTTTCAACAGCTGCCGTAAACGAACTGTCTGACAGATCTCGCTCATTTTTGGCATAGTAATTGTCCTTAATTGCTGCCAAACTACATAAACTTAAAATATCGAAAAATATACAGCGCGCGAATTTTAAATGAGAATTTCCGAAAACTTTTCGGTCTTAATGTATAATATATAAATGATTTTTATTTAATTCATCACACTTTAAAGAACTGTTATTATTATTTATAAGTTAAATATAAAAAAAAACAAAACTAAAAAGTATAATAATAAATTTATAATTAAATACTAATTGCTCATATTAAAAATGAATTTTAAAAAATTGGGGCTACACTTCTATAGAACAGAATAAGAATTGGTTAGAAAGTAATAAGTGCGGTTACATGATATTTAAAAGGCTTTGTGTCGGCGATACTACTTAAGCAGATTAATTTTTTACAAACCTTCACATGAGTTGCAACCAGTTTTTGTAACTTGAAATCAATTGGTTACCATTTCAACCACTATCGAGGTGTTGTCAAAAAGTAACGGGAACTTTTTGATTTTTATAGGAAGCGTTTATTTAATCAGCAATATTTATTCCATTCACATTCATTTCCGTTATTTTAAAACTTTATTTTTTTTATAAATTCAGAAACTTTTAAATTTAATAATTAAGATCACACCTAAACTTACTGTGGTCTGCAGTCGTAAACAATAGATCTACAGATCTGGTTACTTCGGACTTCGCTCGGTTAGTAATTTTTCTCATATCTGTATATTGTTACAATGTATAGCTAAGTTACATTCTAAAGGAGTTCGTCCAATCAAATTAAGACATGTCGAATGCTGTTGAATAACCAGACTTATTCTTCTTTAAAAAAAAACGCATGCACTGTTTCAAATTTAGTAATTATATATAATTGAATAGATATTCAATGGAAAATGAAATAACTGTATGAGAGCAATTAAAATATATGTGAAGCATATATGTTATTAACACCAAAATTACAAGAAATACCTTATATATTATATTTTATTAAAAACAATTGTCGTGAATTCACCCAACAGCCGGCTCCATGGCCAGAAGAATCCTACTGTACCAAAACTTTTAATCACACAAAGCCCGTTAAAGCTTTGTGAACACATTTCAGAACTAAATCTGGAAAAGTGTTTTTAATCTGTACTTTGACAGAAATTCCACATGCAACAGATTTCTTCTGTGCTTTGTTAGAGCTGAACTTCTACAAAGAATATGTATAGTTGTTTCCTCATCTTCGAGGCATAATCTTTATTGTGAATTAGCAGATAATCGAAGTTTATGTAGGTGATGTTTCAGACCAAAATGACCCGTAATGAAACACATTAAGCAACCTTAAATAATATTTGGTGAATTTAATAATGTTTTTGTAGTAGTAAGGTTTGATCAGTGCTTTGCTTTGTCTGAGTCCTGGGAAATCTTCCCAGTACACCAGCCTAAAACGATTCTCCTTTCCTTGATTAATTACTTTGCACTAACCCAGTTTAACCCACAAAAGGGTTGAGCTCATCAGCTGGTTCAATTCCCAAAACTCCCCTTTCGACCTGCAAGTAACTGTAGGAACTCGTAGCACGCAAGAACCTGCTTCGACTTGGGAAGTCCAAGAAAACTTTAAGAGCAGCTTGGCTGTCAGAGTGAATAACAATTCTTAAGCCAGACGGTTTTTTTAATGATGTTGGATCTCACGCATAAGTTAATTGCCCGTATTTTTTGGCTTAGCAATTCTGCTGTGGGGTCCCTATACACCAGCACCAATGTCAACCTGTGGGTCAACCTGTGGACCTCCGTCATCCCATGTTGAACATGATGGTACGTGTACCTCAAATTTTCTGCTAAAGCGACGGAGTTTTGTTTTATGGTCTCCATCGCACTGAGGTATTTTATGTGATCCAAATGTTTTTAATATTGCTTCATGACCATAGCCAAGACATATTTTGTTTATGTGGAGTTTTAATCAGATCGCACTAAACGCAACTGTGGATTGAATATTTATGAGCAGAAGTCTCAGCTCAAGTATGGCCTCAAGTTGGACTAGTCGTCATAGCGCCAGACATTAAGAGACACACAAGTCTCTGAAGCTTTGCGCAAACAGTAACAGAGGCAGCCTGTGTGACAGGCAACTATATGTCATAATAGGACGTACTACTGCCTAATATATCCAAAGTATTATTTTCAGGTCGAAAGAAATACCTTCGAAGTTCGAACTCGTTTAAATTCTTGTCAATTTGTAAAGATATTGTTAAAGCAAAGACATTAAAGCAAAATGTCAAAAACTATTTTAGATTGAATGCTATCATTTAAAGATTAAGCTCATAATTCAATGTCAAATGGTTTTTTTTGTGTTTTTGCGAAAATCAATATGTCGACAAACTGATATTTCACATATTCCTGTAAAACAATATTTATCGTTAAATTCCTTTATTTGGCTTTATTCACATAGCATGTATGGTGTATATGTTAATATGTGTCTCTATCTAATCAATCCATAGTAATTTATCAACTGCAAATAACAGCTCTCAGTGATTAAACTCTAAAAACCACAAAGCACAAGAGAGTTTTAGAGCTCAATTTATTGTATATTTCGAAATTGTTATTCTTCATTTTTTTTATTTTTACTTTTTGGTTTCTTTTGTACTGCGATAATACCTGATAATTTGTTAACTAAAAAGAAAAAATAGCAAATATAATAATAATAATAATTTATTATTTGATTAAATTGTCGTGGACATTTGGTAAAAGAGTTTTACGAAACGAAGTCGCAGTATCGAATAAGCGAGCCCAATCAAAGAAAGTCTCCTCGATTTCGGCATTAAAAAAGAATTAAATAGTTCATCAAGTCACAAAGTAAAACAAGTGATATAAAATAATATAAATATTTTACAATAATAATTCTATTTTGTTGTCTCTAATATATTTGCAGATATTAAATAATTCAATTGCAAGTTCATTTGAAACAAATTGACAGTAAACGAAATGTCGCTGCTGACTGGAAGCGCCAATTGTATTAAATATGTGCTTTTCGCATTTAATTTAGTCTTTTTGGTAAGTTTTTATAATTTTAAAAATACATTAAAAATATTTTGAATCCAAGCGAAGTGGGGAAAATCTGAAAAATTATTATATATCTACTTATTACCACAAGCTTTGGATTTGTCTCCGTACATTTTCAAAGTGTTGTAATATAAAGGAGAGAATACTTTCAAACACCTCACTAAGAGATTGCAACAGTGTAGTCCAAAATTCCAAAATATTTCCACTTAAAGAAACTAGAAAACTGTTAAGCCTAAAATAACCATAAAAGTGAAAACAAACAACCGATTTTTATCGGTTATTAGCAATTTAATATAGTATATAGATTAAATATACTCTAACTTTGATATGGATTATTGCACTCCACACTAATTTGGTATTGAAAAATTCTAGCTAATATATTTCTTCTTTATTACAAACAATTTTTAGTATTATATTAAATAAATAATGTAACGAAAAATAACCATATTAGTGCTTTAAGTTCTGAAACAAGAAATCATACATGTCAAAAGCTCACAACGTGATGAAATTCTGTTATATTATAACATAACATCATATTAAGCAAGCTTTAAGTGTTATATTCCAATAAAGAATCGTACTTCTCCAAGATGGAAGCAGGAGACGACATTTTCAAATACTCTAAGGATTCCATGTGATTGTAGCCATATGGTCATGTGATCAGATCTAGTCGTTTTCAAGGAACAAAAGAAAAGCACTTAAGAGGTTACACTTAATTTGTTGAAATTCTCACGTTTTTATTTTGATGCGATTCTTTTGTCATCACATATTTACTTTTTATATTCCTTATAGTTGCATATACTCGTAAAATATATTTTATTCAGTAAAATATATGAACAAAATTTTTCATCATGAGCACAATAAGTAAATGCGTTTCAATAAAAGTTCAAAAGTTTGTGATAAGATTTGTGATAAGATCCTTCCTCTTTCGCCCCCAGTATTTGCCTCAAAAGAATTTCATCAATTATTCGACCTGAAGTAATTGCAAATTCCAGTTATTAAATGATGTGTAAGCATTATGTACAGAATTTTTATACCGGTGGAACACATATATTGAATCATATTTAGTACAGGACAGTGTCATAATTTTAAAGAACATACGAGACTCCTATATTTATATTATTATTATATTATTAGTAAACATTATATGCTATACATTTACATTTTATATGTTATATATCACATGTTATATATTATATATAATATAATACATGTTTTTGTATTCTATTTTTAGTATTCATACAACAGAATTAGTTTAGAAGAAAAAGCGTTTTAATTTAAGGACATTCATGTATAAGCCAATCAACAAATCTGTTGTATTATATATAACACAATACAGATACATACAAATATAATACACAATATAAGAAGTTCTATTAAACCTTCAACTTATAAAGCTGTTATATTAAATTTTAAACTACCAATCCCCTTTTTAATTGTGATATCTCATAACATTCACACATATAAAAATGGAGATTGATATAGAGAATCTCTAAAATTAAAAAGTTTAATACCTTCATTCTATCTTTTGTACCACCTAATTTTTGATATTTGTAATAAGTATGTACTGATTAATTATATACTAAATAGTTTCACATATTCTTTCGACCCAAACAGGGAGAAGTAATGCCATATAGGATCACCATATCATGCCGTATGATTTAAAAATAAAATGTAGAATGGGCGCAGCATTTCGCTTACATAAAAAGAAAGTAAGGAGATTTTCGTCCAGTGTCTTCCAAACTAAAATCTTTGCTTTCGAGGAGATACGTCGACTGATTTTAGAAAAAAATCTTCGAAATATACAGATGGTATTTTTCTTCGACAGTAAACCACAATTTTTCCTCAGAAATGCAGAGACTTCAGGGAAGAAGACCTGGCAAGATTAAAACATTTCGTCATGAAAGTCACTGAACTAAGGCGCCCGACGAACATTTCAAATATAGATCTTTTAAAAATTAAAAAAACCACAGAATGGTTTTAACATTAAGAATTTCATAAGTCGTATACGATATTAGCAGCTATGTGTAACTTGGCAGAAGAAAAAGTTCTGCTGTGACGAAATCTAACACCGGAACTTAGAATAAAAACATAAATTTCTATGAAAGACAACCCAACATACGTACATTTTTTTATTCTATCACCTCTTACAAAGGAACAAATAATCTCTTAAATATTTAAAATATATTTACATACAAATATATTTTTTTAAATACGCTTGTAATAATTGTGATATCTCCGTTTTTGATAATAAGAACACATTTAGCATATACAATAAAAGCTTTGTCTAATACAAAGTACTTTTTTCATTCAAAATTGAACCTATCGATGAATATATATGAGAGTTTTCACTGTATTTGCCAAATATCGCATTTTATTCATCGTTATTGTTGAGAATTAGAAGAAAATTCTTTCCATACACAAAAAACCTTATCCAGTTTAATCTACCACGATTATCAATATTACTAACTTTGTTATATTTGGTGTGTGACTCACTTGATGGAATGAAGCGATTGAACTATTTATTTGTAGCGTTATAAGAACTATATTGCACTTTTCATAAAAGATATTTTTCTTTTCAATAGGTTAGAGCTTAAGTTACTTCCAACAGAACGATCTCCGATTTTAATAAAAAATTTGTATGACCTCCATTTTTAAAATAAAAATACTCGTATCTCAGGAAAAAAATGTTGAATTTTTTTTAAAAGTTATAAACCTATTTTTAAATACTGATATTTCAGGTTCTATAACTCATAGATACTTACAATTTCTTGCGTTGTAGAGATTACAGATCGAACCTTTTGTAAATAATATTAATATTTAAAACTTTTTATATTTAGTTACTATTATTAACCGTTTACTATACTTAGCGTGCCAATTTAGTAAATTAAGACTTCAGACCACCTTATAAAATCAGTTATATGATTGTGATCAGAAAAAAATTTTTTTCTCATACAACCTAGGGTCACCCTATTGTATATGTAGATAGTACATAAGAGTGTTATATATACACATTTATATACGTACATATTTAAGTTTCTAGTAATTGTTAAATAAAAATTCTAATTATTTTAATGATATCAACAAGTAAAATAAAACAATATACTTATTTATATTAGTATACAGAACCCTTATGTTAGATATATTTAAACTGCAATAAATACTCAGCGAATTATAATGTACTGAAGCTCTGTTATACCTGTATATAGTGTCATATCAAACATTCTGTAACGTTACTTAATACAAAATAGTGAAAAATTTCAAAAAATAATGTAATCCTAAAAATTTTTATTTTGCAGTAAAACTGAAATGAAAATTCTTGGAACTGTTTAAAAATTTTTTTTGTTGAAATTTAAAGGTTAATTTTAGTAAATATAAACAATCTTAATTGTTTAAGCAATGCCTTAAAAGTTCAATCAATTATCTTTAAAACGCAGTAAATTTCAAGTTCCTATCGCTTATAGAGCTTGAGATATAGCCATTTGAAAATATGTCTACAATGCCATGTCTCAAAACCCCATGTGTCCATATCTCCATATCTCCTACAAAAAAAGTATATTGAGGTAAAAATTATTCGATACAGTAAACCCAGTTTCGTCTAATTTTTGAACAAAAATCGTAACATGGAGATGGAGTAGTATTTTTTCCGTTTTTACTGAATAAATTAAGGAAACCTAACCGGTAATAAAAACCTTATCAATTACAGAAAAGATATTTGTAATTAATTTTATATAATAAAAAAAAATTAATCTTACATATTTTTTGAATAATCATTAATAATTTACTTTTCTTATAGATCACTGGTATCATACTAATCGCTGTTGGTGCAAGTGTGGCCTCCGTATTTACAGAATATGAAGATTTTCTGGTATCAAAATTCTTTTCGATTCCAACTTTTTTGATTGTGATTGGTGTTTTCATCATAATCATTTCATTCTTTGGCTGTTGGGGCGCCTTGAAAGAAAACTATTGTCTCATTCTCTCATTTTCCGTTTTGTTGGGAATTATTTTCATACTGGAACTAGCAGCCGGTATAAGTGGCTATGTTCTGCGCTCAGATGCAGAAACCCTTATCAAAGACAGTCTAGTGGAATCATTGCAAAATTATAATTCTACAAAACCAACCGGCGAAACAATTCTTTGGGATTATGTCCAAGAGCAGGTAAATATGAGAACTCTCGCAATTTTTGTATTTACTTTAAACAAAGTTTTGACTATACATCATTAACAGTTCACTTGCTGTGGCGTAGAGAGCTATAAGGATTGGTTAACACCGTTGGACAACAAACTGCCAATTTCGTGTTGTAAAATACCAAATGGTGTAGTTGGCAGCTTCGAATGCAGTGCAATAAATGAGGATGTGAATCGTTACATACAAGGATGTCTTTCCGAATTTTCAACCTATATCTCAGCACATGCTGTTAGTTTGGGTGCAGTTGGTGTTGTTATGGCAATATTACAAGTCAGTGTGCTTTACATTTATAAATTAGAATCTAACTGACTTTTTCTGTATAATTTTTTCAGTTCTTCGGCATTATTTTTGCCTGTTACATCGCACGAGAAATAAAAATCCGCAACGGCATTACAGGATGGTTTTAAAATTCTTTACTCTATATCCAATTATATTTAATATGAAATTATCAACACCTAAGAAATTTTTTATCTTAACTTTTATTATATTTAGTATTATTTAATTAATATAGCAAATTTAAAAAATTTTAATAAACACTAAATATAACATTTACAGTTATTTATTAAACAAAATGGCGAGCATTCACAATTTATTCGTGATTTCACCAATGCAACATGAATCTATATACATTCTGGAATGGAAATTGCACAATGCAAGGCCCAAGAAGAATCGCTCATCCTCCGTTTTCTAAAATCTTAAATTGAATATATTAATAATTTAATTAGTCACGCATGGTGGAAAAATTTACTCAAATAGGTGACTATATTAATATTCGTTGTCAAATCGGCGTCTCTGGGAATTTGAAATCACGCTTAGAAAAAAAAGGAAAGACATTCTGCCTAAATAGATAACGTTGTTGCTATTTACGGAATTATATAGAAGTTAAGACAAATAATGTTAATCCATTGATTTTTATTTTAATTAGGAAAATGGTCACACTGTTATTTGTTCAGACAGAATGACTGTGATGACTGGGAATGATTGACAGGAAAGTTCAATATTCTAGCTTGATTTCCTGAATGGCTGCGACAACAAGACTATCTTTAAGGGGCAAATCAATGAAAGTGCTGGTTTTTCTTAATAGAATGTGACCAAATTGCAAACGGATGCCACCATATCGTTGAGTCTTTGCATCTTATATAAATTCGAGAATTGCTCGATATGTCCAGATTCTTTTGGTGTTTTGAATAAACCTGTCTGTTCAGTTCATCCACCTTGCAGCTGAAGCAAATAACATAGCTCTTCTACCGGGAGTCCAGAGTACAGAAATGTTAAACTATGTCGATATCTCTTTTAAAGATGTTTAGGAGCCTAAAAACCTTCCAGAATGTAAATTGAACTGAACTCCAGTACTTTAAAGCAGCTTGACTATCTGATAGGATAGACTATCTGATTATATATTCTCATTACATATCATGTTAAAATGCACGTTCAGAGAAGTTATAGCTTCACTTATAGCGATCACCCTCGCCATTAAAACATTGCTATGATCAGAAACCTGTAATGTACAGATCTATTCCGTGTCTTTGAGAAAACTTCACTGTCTACATCGCCACCAGTTGTTTCTAGACAGACAGTTGTTTCTAGATGAAAAATCGATATTAAGTTTCCTGTCGAAATTCATAATGGTTTAGCGTTGTCAATATTTTTAGATTGGGATTGCAAAATCAAGAACAGAGGCATAAGAGTAGGTACTAATCTTACATTTTTCCTTTATATATCATATCACTAGTCAAAGATTTACTACTGAGAGCTTTTAAAGTATTTTAAAAATAAAAGCGGTACTTCGATAACTTACTGGCTCGTCGAGAATATAATGTATGTATGCAGGAGGTATACTACAAGCACAAAAATATTTTATTGTCGTACACCGCCAGTATGAGTACGCATCTTCGTACTTTACGTAAAAATTCCTGTCGTTAAGATATGACAACACACCTCGCAATATTGTAAAGGCAACAATGTCTTCAGATCAAGTAATAATCCAATATCGAAGGCCTGTTAGGCTTTAGAAAATATCGTTTTCTGATCCATAGCAGTTTTAAGTGTAATTACAACTCTATGGATTTGATTAATCATTGAATAATTCCTTCCAAAGCTAAATATGGGAGCACGAGTTAGTTATGCTCGATGATTGGCAATAACCGCATTAAGAGTAGTTTTAAGAACAGCACTGGCAGTAATGATCAGAATGTAATTGGTCAGAATGATTACAGGAAAAGTTGTAGAGTGATAAAAGAAAAAAAATTAGTAAAAGTTTACTAAATAATAAGATAATAGATGAAATTACAATATCAGATGAAACCACAATATCTTAACCGTATTGTTGACATATTACCTCCTTAAGAGTTCAGACTGAACTGAACTGACTGTTTTTTTTTTTACAATAGGTGGAAAGCATCGAAAGCCACAGTGTAAGACTTGAACCCACTAAAATCACCTCCTAGGAATGAATGGAGAAGATTTCCACAGCAACGTGGAAACTTTATTCCAGTAATCAGGGGGAGAGAAAGTAGATAGACGGAATACCTAGTGAACTAGGTTCATCTAAGCCAGAAAACAAGGGCATAAATTAGTTAAAAAGGGTGATAACGAAGGGTTACGGCTAGTTAGCGGGAGTGAATTTTATGCTAAACTTTATGGACAGGGTCACGAAAGCTGCGGTTATAAAAGGGAATAGTGAGAGAATTATGGTCCCAAGCAGAAGGCTTAAACAAGGCTCTCAGGAAGGGTATTAAGACTGAAGACGTCAGGGCGAAGGTCATGAAGCCGAGTGAGATACCTACGGGAGAGTGACAAAAGGTTCTCGTCAACACGAGTGATCTTGGCATTGTCATAAAGAGTAGAGATGGAGAAGTACTTGCCATTAGGCTTGCGCTTATAGTTGGTGCAATCACGAAGAAGTTTCCGCTTAAACAGGCGAATTCTTTCCATCTGAGTGAAAGTGGTGGCTGATCAAATAAGGATCAGCCTCTGAGGAGAGGACGAATATAGCATAGCATAGCAGCTTAACTTTGCAGGTAAGTTGGTTATGTCTTCGAAATGCAGTTTTAAGGTGTGTGTGCCTGAACCGGGCGTTACGGATGGCATAGTCAACATGTGGTATGAATTTATGCTGAGAGGAGAGGACAATTCCTAGACATTTCAGCTTGGCAACAAGCTGAATCGGAGGGTTGTTAAGCCTGAGCTTAATATTAGAGGTGCTAAAACCTCTGAGACGATCACGCTGTTGGCCAGTAAAGGCAATGGCAGAGATCTTGAAAGGGTTGAGCCTAATCTTCCACCTGGTATAGTAGTCGAAAAGGGATCCAAGGTGGGCATTAAGCTCATTGGAAAGGCGGCAAGGATTACACGACCGCATGAAGACAAGGCAGTCATCGGCAAAGCAGATTTGCTTAACAGGGACCCGTGGGAGAGGGATGTCTGCTATAAACAGGTTAAAAAAGGAGGGGTCCAAGAGGACCAAGAGGAGGTGTCCAAATTTTGAGGGACGCCGGCGACTGAACTGACTATGCCGTGGCACACATGCTTATGTTGATTTTTCAAATCAGACTTTCAAGTGAATTTGCTTAAATGTTTCGCTACATAACCTTAGATATTAACTAAATCGAGACTAATTGAATGATAATTTTATTTTACATATTAAAAATTATATACAATTCTATTCGAATTATGTTCCTGGCCAACTCTTTACTTTTTCATCATTTTTATAGTCAATCTCTGGACACTGGACTATATTTTTCTTACTGCAGCTGTTTTTTTACTTTAGTTCGTACGTTAAATACAACTTTTATAACAATTTGATAAAAATTAATAACAATTTTATAACAATTAACCGTTAGTGAATGACTTATTATAGTATATTTTCAGCAAATATGTTATTTATAGACGACAACTGCTTTAAATATCTACTAATTACTCAATATATGAACAACAGCCATGATTAGGTCAGTGTAGTCTATGGCGACATAACTTCATTACACATGTCTCATAGCGCACTGAGCCTTTCAGCGTAGACATGGTTTGCCTTTTTGTCGCTTGCCACAAAATCTGCCACAAATTGTTTTCCGAACAGACTCCTCTCCACTGAAACGAATTACAAAAACCTTCCAGCAAAACATAACAAGTTTAATTTTTACAAATAAATATGTTTTGGTGCAGATCGCATTCAGTTCGTGGTTGTGACTTCCTCTTTCCTCCTTCGCCTTTCCACATATATTGGGTTAATGTAGTGTTTTTTGTGTAGTATTTAACCTGTTATTGTGATATGTGTACAATATACGTATTACATCCATGCCTCGGTTTACGATCGTCGCGTTAAACGGCTTAACGACCCAACCATATTTATGACCACGTTTCGCTTCACAGCCAAAAAATATGCCTTTTAACGGCCAAGAAATTTTGTGCGATTTACTTATAATATTAGTTTTCTTATGTATATACATTAGTATATATGAGTTACTTCTGCAGAAAAATGCATATCAAAAACAGCTGGCATTTTAGTAGCACTGAATCAAGAGGTGTGCTCATGTGCAATTATTTAGAAATTCATTGTGTTTTCAATGATCTAGTACGAACTTAGTACGAAATTGAAAATAGGAAAAGCTTGTTTAAGGAACGGTTTCATACATTGTTATTTCTATCCAGAAGGTAAAACATATTTATTATATTTAGAGAAGAAGAATTTATCTTATAAAGCCGTTTACAATTTCTCTTAGCAATCAAAATGCAGTTTTTACCGAAAGATGTCACAGTTTTACTCCAGCCAATGGATCAAGGTGCTATATACACTTTTAAAAGGCATTATCTATAAAAACTTTTCGAATGCTCATACAAGTAACAGATAATTGAAGGTGCCAAAAAGGTTTCTAGAAAGGCCACAACATTAAAGATGCCACAGTAAACTTACAGCAATCAGGAAAGGATATACAAATGGTATCTCAAATGTTATCAGAATGCGTCGTCAGAGTATAAAAGATGATGTTGTTAAAACGGCGGTAGAGGCTGGTTTTGCCGATTACGTTATAAACGTCGTCAGTCAACTTTTAAGTAGTCACAGAGAACAGCTTACGAACAGATTTTCTTCTTTTGGAACCAGTTTAATTATTTTCCATACATATGTATGGAATTACTTGTTTCGTTTAACGGCATTTTGTTTTACGGCTAACTTTTTTGGAATGAGTTAAGGCCGTTAATCGGGGTATGGGTGTATTTATATATTTATGCACTGTCTGTCCGTCCCAAGAGGAGTAATCATATTGATATTAGTAATAAATAAATTCAGTGAATTGCTGAATATAGTAAGAATTGATGTACTGTTTTTATATTTATATAAAATCCTTTTATACTAAAAGGATTAAGGTTATTCTATTTTTTATATACCATAGTATACAAACTAAATATATTTAAAATATTATATATAATTTTCAATGAAACTTCTTTTCAGCACAAAATTTTGATTTTAGTTAAAG